ATGTATATACACACAATTATGTATATATATGTGTATATATATACACACATGTTTTTATATACATATATGTATTTATATATATTCATATATATTTATATACATATATATGTATTTATCTATATATATTTATAGATATAAATATATATATATGTAATATAAATTAAAACTGGCAGCACGGTGGCGCAACTGGTAGAGCTGCTGCCTCTCAGTGAGAAGGTCCCTGGTTCAAACCCCGGTCCAGGGGCCTTTCTGGGTGGAGTTTGCATGTTCTCTCCGTGCATGCGTGGGTTTTCTCCGGGTGCTCCGGTTTCCTCCCACAGACCAAAAACATGCATGTTAGGCTGATTGGTAACTCTAAATTGTCCCTAGGTGAGAGAGAGAGAGTGAATGGTTGTTTGTCTCATTTGTCTCTATGTGGCCCTGTGATGGACTTGCGACCCGTCCAGGGTGTCCCCCGCCCCTCGCACAGTGATTGCTGGACATGGGCACCAGCGACCCCCGTGACCCAAAATGGAACAAACGGGTAAAGAAAATGGATGGATGGATGGATAAATTAAAACTCTGATGAACCAGATTCTACAAAAACATTAGATTTAAATTTTTATAGGTTTTCATAATCATTTGATGTATTTGCACTTATTGTGTCTACTTTTAATGTTCATTTTAGATGTGTGGTTTTCTTTCTTGTTCACATATATACATTTTATTTTTAGCTTTGCTTTAAAGTTCTTGTTTTGTGATTTGTACATTTGTGGGTTAAAATAAAATTGAACTGAAGGTCGTCTCTTTTCTTTAAACACGATTGAGGGAAATATTCCTGAGATCCAATAGTTTTGTGTCTTTTTATGATTTTCAGCTGAGTTAACAGTCATTAAAGTGAAAACAGGATTTCATGATGAAGCTGGCACCGTTTATTTTTTTTATTTTTTTAATCTTCAACGCTAATATATATATATGTATATATATATATATATATATATATATATATATATATATATATATAT